CCCAACGCTTCTTGGATGGGCGTGAACTGGGCACCTATGACCAATGCCATCAAACCAGGCAACCTTGTTTTTGGAGGAATAACTCCCGATATTAGTTCCTCTTAAACAATATATCAGTGATGAAGAGACCTTCTAATACACAGATTATCACATCTATATGCAATTCCTGTATTTCTTTACCTATACAGTAGGCGAATGATATCTCGTTTGACTTTGCTGTACTCTAGCACAGTGTTTCTCAACCTTTTTTCAGTCAAGGCACCCTTTAAAATCATGGACAGTCCCAAGGCACCCCATTCTAAAATGGGGTGCCTCAAGACTGTCCCTAATTTTAAAAGGGCACCTCATTCTAAAACGTGAAAAACTATTCTAATAGTTTTACATAATGCAGTAACATCCACACATGTAGGACACCCAACATTAGAAGCAATTTGTTGTTCCAAAGCAAATACACTTTTGCATACTGGTACTGAGTAGTAAACCAATGTTTCTCTTCTCCCTCTTTTTCTAGATCACTGAGCTAATGTGATCCCAGCACTGATGGAGAGGGGCAGGGTAGGGTCAAACTAGGATGCTGTGCAGGCAGCTAACATCCTTATCAACTGATTATGTCAATGGTTGTCAGGACGCTGGCGTCTAGAAAATCGTAATGGTGCACAATGAAAACCTCTGGCTTTGTGTAATTAAAATGCAGGCTTAGATGAATCAGAGTGACTTGAAACCTGTGTAATGTGAGTTTATTACTTGGATGGTGGGAATAAAAAGATTTAAAAGGTAAAGCACTATGTCTTCTATTTCTTCCTGCATGCGGAGTAACACAAGGAGAGGATAATTAGGAGGTCTGGGATAACAAAAGGAGTGTGTAATCCCTGAGGGGACAATCAGCCACCAGAGGATACATCCATTACTCCTAAAGGAAGGATCTCCCAATTTTACCAGCAAAAGTATATGTCCAGCAGGTTCCAGGGAAAGTGAACTGAAAGCATGTATAGCCTAATTGCAGGCATCAAAGGAGGTGAGCGCACATCTTCACTATTTGAAGGATTCATAAAAGTCACAAATTGAAGAACAACAAGCACCAAGTCACTATATATAAACAATTGTTTATTCAATGGGACTATTATTTTGATGATATTTGGATTCATACTAATCACTACTAATTATGAGCATTTGGTTATTTTTATTTATGGGGGATCATTTAAATGCGTTTTAGTTGAGGGTTATTAGTTGGTTTATTATTTTTATTATATTAAATGAGGGTATTATGAATATAAATGAAATTGAGGGTATTAGTAAGTACATCATGTCACTAATAGATGATTTATGAGCACTTGGTAAAATATTTTTTTTAGAGGAGTATTTCATGTGGAATTATTTTGATATTTATTTGGAGGAGATTGATTAGTTGTAATTATTTATTTAAATATGTTTTGGTATTTATACACTTTTATTAGTTATTTGTATCATAATTTGAATTAATTTAATGGTAATAATTTAATTATTATTTATTGAGAAGTATTTAGGAGCGCAACATATATTTGTAAAATGCAGGCTTGTTCCACCCTCTGGCTTGTATACATTTTTTCTTTAACAATTTCACTTGAGCGGAAAATCGCACAAAACGTGCGAAAACACGCAAGTCGCGCATTTCTATTCTTTTCTGAGAACAGAAAAAAAAAAGGCACCAAAAACAAATCTGCCCAATTTGAGCTACAAAAGTAGCTCTAAAACTTTTTTGAGCTTCAGGCATTCTGCTTCAGGCAACTTGGAGTGGAGATGTGAACCAGCTCCATAGAGTAATGTTGATTTTTTTTTTTCTTCCTCCCTGAGCATTTTGGAGCTTCAAGCTACAAAACACTCAGGTGTGAATGGGGCCTAAAAGTAGATTTTTTTTTTTAATTTGCAGTTTAAACCTAGCTGTGAGATACCTATAAACAATATGTGCCACATATTCAAAAACAATTTTTTGGAAGATAAAGAAACTAAAATTTGGACTTCTACCACAGAAAGGACTGTAGTTCTAAAATTATTATAAGTGGTTATTGGTTACCTGTCCACACTCATCCACTGACTTAAAGTAGTTCTAAAGGTTTTTTTATTTTACCGTACTGCATTCTATGCAGTGGGTTGTCAAGCCACATTGTGCGTCTTATGCATGAGTGCCCCTATAACACTCATGAAGTTCATTTTAGCATCTGAATTCCCAGGAGATCTCCCATACACCTGTGCACACAGACTCTGGTGCAGCTGTGCATATTTACCAATCAACAGCTAGGTTTTACTGTCCAAGCTTTGGTTATATTAGGACTTTAGAGCATTCACACTTGTGGTTCTACTCCATCTATATCCCATTACCTTGTGCCCATGGTTGTCATTTCCACAAATACAAGACTCAGTTGATGCCCACAACAGCAAAAGTACAGGATGTTTGTCCTTCCTTTTTCCCTAGACTGAGGTTGTTTGCAACAAGACACGGAAACTGCTTGTTATCCCTAGGTATATAGCTTTAAATTAGAAAAACTTGACAGCCACCACATATACAGTTATTGCGGTTACAGTGACCAGGCACTGACCTCAGAGTGGAGGAAGCTAGCAACATGTGATCCAAGGTCCACGTATGGTAATGTCATGAAAAGGGTGGTAGGGCACCTAATGGTACTTAAAGTGGTTGTAAAGGCTCAAGGTTTTTTTACCTTCATGCATGCTATGCATGAAGGTAAAAAAACATGTGTGAAGCAGTGCCTCCAGCCCCCTCAATACTTACCTGAGCCTCATCACAATCCAGCGATGTGAACGACAGCCTCGTCTGTTCCAGGTCTCTACCTGCTCCTTGGGAGAGACAGCAAGCGGGAGCCATTGGCAGTCACAGCCAGTCAGCCAATGAGGAGAGAGGGGGTGGGGCCAAGTCACAGCTCAGTGTGTAAATGGACACATGGAGCAGTGGGTGCTCCCATAACAAACTGCTTGTTGTGGGAGCAACTGACAGAACGGAGGGGCCAGGAGACTCTGCGGGGGACCCGAGAAGAGGATCCAGGCTGCTTTGTGGAAAAGCACTACACACAGCAGGTAAGTATAGACAATTTTTTTTAAAGGAAAAAAACAAAAATGACCTTTAGAACCTCTAAGTATTACAACCCAGTTTGAACACAAATGGTGCTTAGCGTATTTCCACTTTTGCAGACAAATGTTAGAAATCCCCACTATGATTTTTTTTCCCCTTTCACATAGCAGATCTAGAAATAAAAAAAAAAATAAAAAAAAAAATCATACCTTTCTAGTGGTTTCCTTGGAAAGGTTTATACATAGGACTCTTGGCAGCTTCTATTTGAAATAACTTCCAATGTGCAATCAGGGACTTTCACTTATTTTTTAAGTGCATTAACATACAATGTACCACCCAAGTCTTGATCTTTAATCCATTTTTAGAACAGACCGTGTGCACACCTTGTTCACAACTAATAATAAAGATAATAAAGATTTGCCAGAACAGTACAGTGTGGTAAACATAAAACCACTGGTCCAGTTCTTAACATTACATAGACAGGCTTCTTTAAGGTTTTTCAGCAAGCATAAACCGGTAAGGAGCAATTTTTCACTTTTATTTTTATATATGTTGGTCGTGTGGTCCTATTCACAAAGACTTTTAGTGGTTTCTAAGAAGGTGGTAACATGGCTGACTTAGAACTTCTGGTCAGTCTCAAGTGTCTCCCACAGACATGCAGTCAACAATTCCTAAATAACAGTGCAGGAAGGTGGTTTCTAAATTTTAACACTTTTCTGGAAGTTCATATCAGCTATAGACTCTGTCCTGACACAGTAGAGACAGGGTTACGTTTTGGTAAACATTACTTCACCCCCCCATCCCCCCTAAACACTGCAAAGCAGAGAGGCAAGTAAGGATTTTTAAGCATGTAAAAAAGTAATTAAAAAGGTAACCAGCACTTTTTTTTTTAAAACCACTTGGCAATCGCGCTAAAATGACAGCTACAGGGTCATTGTCCAGTTCTGGGAGGGCGTCATGTGACTTCCTCCCAGAACGTGCCCTCTTGCGCGGCCCCGGCGATGTCATAGCTGATCATGTGATGTGGTAAAAGGCCAATCAAGGTGGCCTTTTACCACGTGACCAGCTGTGTCCAATGACACAGCAGATCACCGGGTAAATGCAGTTGCTGGTTATCGGCTGCACTTTCCTCACTCTGTCACAAATTTTTTGCTCTTTTTTGGTTTATAGCACAAAAAATAAAATACCCAGTGGCAATTAAATACCACCAACAGAAAGTTCTATTTGTGTGAACAAAAGAAAAAGAAAAAATTAAATATGGGTACAATGTTGCATGACCACACAATTGTCATTCAAAGTGGGACAGTGCTCAAAGCTGAAAATTGGCCTGGGCATGAAGGGGGTATAAGTGCCAGTAGGCAAGTGGTTAAAAAAAAAAAAAAAAACACAAACATGTTATACATACCTGCTCTGTGTAATGGTTTTGCACAAAGCAGCCCTGATCCTCTTCTCAGGTCCTCTGCCGGCACTCCTGGCTCCACTATTTGGGGGAACTCGTGTGTACTCATTCCTGAGCCACCTCTATGTGTCTAAGTTCTATTTAGAACCACTTTAAGTTATCCTGTGTTAGTGTGAACATATAACAGATATAAAACAGGTGTTATCCCAAATTGCCTACAAAAGTGGGAATACACTTTTGTCCAATAGGACAATATTTTACTAGTTTTGACCTCTCAGAACAGAACACTTAACATTGAGCTTTTGAGATTTATATAAATATAAAAAAAATACAGGAAATGTTATCTTCAGGCAAAAAAAGGAAAAGAAAAATCTCATGATTCAGTGGTCAATCTAAACAAAGCATTTTACCAATTCACTATTGAAATAAGGCTGGGCTATGCCCCTATGACCATCCAGACAACTCGAGAGATCTGAACCCATTTTTGCGGTTCAGTTAAAAATTGGAGATTGGTAAAAAAATAATGAAAGTTTGGCCTACCTTGGATCCTCTCTCATTAAATATGATTTCTACGTCGAGAATTTTGCCAAATTGCTAAAACAGAAAAATTCAATTAATGAATTGATGGAAATACCTGCAAATGGCTAAGAGATGTAATAAGGTTTTAAATTTTTCTTTAAGCAATATTTTTGCTGTTTTTAACAGCAACTAGAGAACATTTTTATGTACAGAGCGTAATGCAACAGCCAGGGGATCAGCTGCTTTCAGCATTGCTACTAATAAGGAAGTCAAACAGAAATGGTAGGATTAACCAGGTATTTACTGATCGATTGAATGATGGAACAACTTCTGTAACAAGGCACAAAACACCCTTTTAAAGAAATACACAAGAAAAATTTTGGAATTACAACACACGAGGATACCGATATTCTGAATTCTTATTTAAATGTACATGTGATATCAGTTATGCTGGAAGTCCTTGTTACAATCTGACTGCATCATTTCCTTCAAATTGAAAACTTCTACCATAGATTGTATGCCCCTTGAGGGCTAGGGACTGATGTGAATGTACAATATATGTCGCTATACGTACCTATACAAGTACCTGTATATATATATATATATATATATATATATATATAGTGTGTGTGTGATTGCCTATCAGTTCACACTTCACAGCTGTTGGTAAAGTTGGCCAAACATTTACAAGTTCTAGTACAATCTCTTAGATTTACCAACACACTTTCTGGGGCAATTTGAACATTTTTTTTACATACATGTTGCAATATGCAGATTTTGCTACAAAATTACTTCGAACCCCCAAACATATTTTCTGGCCCTGCAGAATAAAAAGGACGGCAGTTGCAATGTTTGTCACATAATGTTTGCACGGCCTTTTATCAAATGCACATTCGCATTTTTATTTTTTAAGCATTGATCACTGTACTGGTGTCACTGGGGTTGTCAGTGACACCAAGTTAGTTCTCCCCCAGTATCAGAATGTCCGCTGCAGTCCCGCTAAAAGTCACTGATCGCAGCCATTACTAGTAGAAAAGAAATAAAAAAATCCCAGTATCTATACCGCCATATAACTTTCATGTAAACCAATTTACACCTATACGGATTTTTTGTTCATAGCAAAAACATGTCGCAGAATACATTTGGCCTAAATTTATGACAAAATTTGATTTAATTTTTTTTACTGGACATGTTTAATTGCAAAAGAAAGCTCTATTCGTGCGAAAAAAGATGTAAATTTCATTTGGGTGCAGCATTTGCATGACAGCACAATTGTCAGTAAAGTAACGCAACGCCGTAACACAAAAAAATGGTCTGGTCAAGAAGGGGGGGGGGGTAATCCTCAGGAGGGCAAGTGGTTAACCTGCAAACAGATGTGCATTTGTATTTTTTAATCATGAATTAGGGGTCCTATAATTATTGCTCTCAATCCAAAGTTTGCAGCGATACCTCACATGTGAGGTGCAATCACCTTTTACAAATGCATGCTGGTCCCACATGCATGTCTGCATTTGTGTGTATGCGCAGGGAGACTGTAGTGCAAAAGTAAAAGCACCCCTCTTTTTTTCTCCATTTAAACTTTATAGGTATCACAAAGGGGCAGTGATGGCTACTCTTTAAGGAGGCATCAGGGGTCTATTAGACCCCCAGATATTTCTCCTGCCGTTCAAAACAGCTGCTCAAACACAGATCATGTTTGATCAACTGTTTGTCCGGCTACAGCAGCCAGGAAATGATGGCTTTGGAAACCTTAAGCTACCTGGACCATTTGTCAGAGGAGGTGGGGGAACATAACTGATGGCAGCGGTCCTGACCGCTTACCATGGTTCTGGGCTCTGCAGTAGAATGGGAAAACCACTGCAGTTGGCAGTAAAAGGGGGTTGTTGCTTAGCAGTGTAAAAGTGACTGGGCGGCTTTATATCATTTTTACATGAAAGCCAATTGGAAACACAACAGGATCATGGTTGAAGAAAGAAAATCCCAGTTTTACTTTCACTTTGAAATGGTTCACCAGTATTTACATTAAAAAAAAAAAAAAAAAACAGTCTGGCTGCTAGTGTAATCCAGCAGCAAAGGGGAAAGGTCATGTATTGTTGCCAGAAGGCAGTGTCGCTCACTGTATGTAATGCAGTTACAGCTAACGCTACTACAATCTATTTCTATTACTGAGCAGTCTGGCTTCTGGAGCTGTTGTAATAATTTGTGTGGGTTACCTTGTCCTAAGCTACCTAAAAGTGAAAAAGAATTCCAAGTTCTTCAAACACAAGTTTTAAGTGGGAAACTTTAAAACAATTCTTCAGAATGTGTATGGCTACAGACGAGGGTACTTTCAAATTATTTTAGATTTTCAAGATCTGAGCAACTGGTGAGGAAAAGTGCATGTAAAACCAGAAACATTACAAATGTATTGTACAGTCTGAGTTCAGAGCAAAGCATGTTGAAGTCTAAAGATACAGTAAAAGTAACTGATGATAATTCTAAAAGATGCATAGGCCAATAAAATATTCAAAATGGATTTTATACAAGAAAAAAAAGAAAATACATTTATCATCAGTGTAACTACTGAGAAGGAGCAGGGGCATGGCTTTCCTCCGATGTGTGCATCTATGGAACCATAAAGCTCAGCACAGAACACAACAGAAGAATGCATTCACAGGTGCCTCTTAAGCACCCGGCTTGCTACTAGAGGCACCCAAAGGGGAGGAGGTGCCTATTGAACTAGTGAGGAATGCTTAGAAGGAAAGCAATATTTCTATGCAATATCATAACATTTTGAATTTAATTTGACTAAAATGGAAGTGAAATGCGTTTACCAATACAAACTAGACTTCATACCCCCAAAAAACATAGCATTTGACAACCATGGAATACTCATTATTGGTTTCTCATACACCCCATCACTAAGGCCCCAGTCACACTTGTGGATGGGACCATTAGCGATTAGATGAGGGAGACCCAGTTTTTTTTTTTTTTTTTTTTTTTTTTTAGGGTTCTGTGATGACAAGTGTAGAAAGACAACATTACAATAGTGAAAACATAGATATAGCTAAACTGACTCACCCCAAACATCTGACGGAGATCAGGGTCTCTAAAGCGAAATGGTATATTGGAAACATGAAGTCTTTTAGGGGTTGGTTTGGTTTCCGTGCTTTCAGTGCTCTGGGTTTGTGGTTGTTGCCCTTCTGTCTGAGATCCATCTGTCTGTACGCAGAAAAATCAAAAAAAAAGTACAGCATTTAGCAAAGACTAAAAATTTCATAGGTTACCAAAATTGAGTTGAAATATGCACCTGAACATTTATATATCTGAACACTTAAAATTACTAGAATATCCACATTCATGTAAGTCTATTAGTCTGCATTAATAGATCCCTGATTTGTCAATCATTATTCAACAGTGTTTTTTTTTGGTTTTTGTTTTCTAAAAAAAAAAAACAAAAAAAAAAAAAAAAACAAAAACAGTAATAAAAACCCAACTCCAGCTAAATCTAAAGTGGAACTTTATAACAACTTGGGAAAAAAAAAAAAGTTCTTTTGCAGGGAACAAACATTCCACAATAATTATGCTACCAAAAATAGTGTGTGCAGTAAATTGCCTCTGGTATAGATCCTGTTTCTTCTTGCTGCCATTTTGCTGAAGCCCAGGGCTCCAGAGCACCAGTAAATCTTTAGGCTGTACATTTTCAGCACAGTACTCAACGATAGAAAGCAACTGAGCATGTGCAGAGCAGGATGAGCATTATTTGAATATTGTTTCCTACTAAATAAAGGCCTAAATTAACCAAGTGCGGTTTTATTTCTTACTAATGAATGAAAAAAGGAAACCTAAAGAATGCCACTGCTGACTTCTAAAGACTGGTTGAATGGCTGTCATACTAGTTCACCAGCTTCAGTACTTTTGAATCATTGACCCCAAAAATGTATAACTACAAAAAGTTTTTTTTTTTTATTACCTTAACACGTTCTCTACAGCAAGGTAAAAAAAAAAAAAAAAAAAAAAACCCACAAAAAAAAAAAAAAAAAAAACACACCACACAAAGAAAACCCCCCAAAAACAAAAATGTCATTGCTCAGCTTCCCTCCCTTTTATACTTACCTGAGCCCTATCTCAATCCAGCGATGTGTACGAGAGCAGTGTCTGGCTGCACTGCTGTCAATGAAAGCCAATGAGGAGGAAGTGATGGATGTGAGCCGAGCCACAAAGAGAGCGGGCCTGCACAAGTGCCCCCATAGCAAGTGGATTGCTATGAGGGCACTGGACAGCAGGGAGGAGCCAGGAACACTGGTGGCTGCCCCAAAAAGGAGGATCGGGGCTGCTCTGAGAAAAACCATTGCAGACCAGGTAAGTATAATGTATCAGTTATTTGGAAGAAAAAAAAAAAAAAAAAAAAAAAAAAAAAAGGTTTACAATCACTTTAAGCACTATTCTCTCATTCCTTTCCGTTATTGAAATGTACCAATGTAAAAAGGAGAGGTCTTGTGCTCATATTCAACATTTCCAAACACCTTTCATACAAAAAAAAGGGTAGAATATTCCATATTAACCACTTCAGCCTCAAGCCATTTCTGACATGGTTTACATTCTAAAATCAGCATTTTTTTTGCCAGAAAATGTCTTAGAACCCCCCCCCCCCCCCCCCCAACATTTTTTTTTTTTTAAAGCAGAGGTCCTAGAGTTAAAATTGGTGGGGTTTTTTTTTTTTTTTTTTTTTTTTTTAGGTCCCATGGTATTTTCGCAGCGGTTTTTCAAACTTAATTTTTGGGGAAAAAACAAACATAACTAAATTTTTTTGTAAAATATAAAAAGAGGTTACGCCGAGTAAAAAGATACAAAACATGTCATGCTTTAAAAGTGCACATGCCCGTGCAACAGCGATAAACTATGTAAATTTAACTATTCATAGACAACACTTTAAATGTAAAGTGGTAACCTGTAAAGGCTTTTACACAGGAAGTCTAGTGCTAGAATTACTGCCCATAGTTGGACAATTGCAGTGATACCTCGCATGTGTGGGACGATCAGTGCGTGCATTCACCTTTGCACAGGCACGGGCACTATTTTTTATTTTATTTTTTTTACACTGTTACTTTAAAAAAAAAAAAATTTTTATTGCTCTCACAAGGAATGTAAACATCCCGTGACCACAATAGACAAGTGACAGGTATTTTTATGTGAGATCTGGGGTCAATGAGACCCCAAATCCCTCCTTTGCATTTGAAAACATTCAGAACACCAAGATCTGTGTTTTTGAATGCTTTCAAATTTTTTGGTGGTGCCGAAAGTTTCCGAGTAAACCCGAAGTGACGTTAGGTCATCACTTCCGGTTTACAATATAGGAGACCTGACCAAAGCAGATTCCAAGAAAGAGGCAGGAAGTAGGGGGAGGTATTGAACATTTACCTACTCACCTCTCTGCCGGTCTCCATCACCACCAGGGACTAGAGAGAAGAGAAACCAGCATAATGAGCACTGACTAGGTGCTAGTCGGGGAAAGGAGTGTCGGGCTCTCTTAACACTCAGTAGAAGTTCATCTGCTGAGCAAGTAAATGAGGCGCCTGCCCCAATGAGAAAGAAAAAACCCCCAAAAAAACAGAAAAAAACAAACATTCTACTTGGGTGCTCCGTAAAAGGGCATGCTGAGCAGCCAAATAAAGCTCCAGTGTCCGCTCCATTAACCACTTGCCCTCCAGAGGATTTACCCCCCTTCCTGACCAGGCCATTTTTATGTGATACAGCACTGCGTTATTTTAACTAATTGCACAGTCATGCAACGCTGCACCCAAATGAAATGTCCTTCCCCCCCCCCCCCCAACAAACAGAGCTATCTTTTGGTGGTATTTGATTACCTCTGCAATTTTTATTTTTTTGCGCTATAAACGCTATAAAACAAAAAAAGACCGACCGAAAAAAAAAAATGCATTCTGCGACGTCTGCTAAAAAAAAAAAATCCCAATACATGTAAATTCATTGGTTTTGTGTGAAACTTATAGCGTCTACAAATGGCGTATATATACACTGGGGTTTTATTTATTTATTATACTAGTAATGGTGGCAACCAGCAACTTATAGCAGGACTGCGGCAGGCACTCTGACACTGGGGGGAAACTAACTGCCATTGACATCCCAATGACACCAATACAGTGATCAGAGCTAATAAAAAGCACTGACACTGTACTAATGACATTGGGCAGGAAGGGGTCAACATCTGGGGCAATCAAAGGATTAACTGTGTGCAGTTTTGCTGTGTGTTTTACTAGGGAAACATGCTGCTTTGTATTGCTCTGCTATGTTGGTGCTGACAGAGGAGAGATCTATGTTTACACAAAGACCTCTCCCGTTTCACTGTTTCTTGGCGTTGTCGGCAGGGAATCTCCAGCCGGGACCCGATTATCGACATCTGTAGCCACCAATGACGGGGCAGGTAGGGTGGTGCGCGCACCCCCTACCTGGAAATGTGAAATCACACACATCTCTCACACACGTGATTTTATGCAGCCCTGCCGCAGTAGTTCAGCTATATGGGCGGCGGGGTACAGGTTAATGACGTTCACCCTTTAAAATAAATAAATGCACTTTTTTTTGCAGGTAAAACGTCCTTTTTTTGCCTAGAAAGCATTGGACCAGTGATCAGCAGATCGTTGGGGTAATGTATGGCTCTTAGAGACTGTCAGTGTAATCTGTCCATACATCATACAGGAAGGCAATTTCATACTGACAGGAAGACTCAATGAACTATAGGGGTGCTCAACAGTTCCGTGGTAGTTCACTGAGAACTACAAGCCAACATCCGCAATGGATGTCAGTATTTGTAGTTGACTCATTTACAGAACCCTCATAGCTGTGCCCTTTGCAAAAAATGACAGCTGGTATGGCAAAATTCTCCCTGAACTGCTGTCACACAGAGGGCTTGGATCGACAAGCTGCTACAGGAGCATGTCACATGTCTCACCCTAAAAATGGGTGGAACATGTAACTTGTTCCCGAAGGTGAACTTATAACACTGAACACTTTAGTAGCAGTGGAGCCACCCAATTGCTTCCACCTGACAAGCCCTGCTACTTGCCTACACCAGTGCTAAATGTAGAAGAAAACTACCTGCCCACTGCCCTGAACTGCATGTCCCAGGTACCACGCGATAGGAATTGCGCATCCCTGCACCATCATTTAAAGTTTCTCTGCCCTTGTCAGGATCCTCTGGATACTTTCATGTGATACTATTTTTTGATTAGTATCCCTACCTGCAGATTCTGGTCCTTTCCATTTTCCTTGTGACATATGGGAGTAGATTTGCTAAAACTGGAGCATGTAATACGGGCTAGCTGTGCATGGTAGCCACTCAGCTTCTAATTTCAGCTTGTTCAATTAAGCTTTGCAATAAAACCTGGAAGCAACTATGCCACTATGCAGAGTTGCACCAGATTTTGCATTCTCCAGTTTTAGTAAACACCTAGGTATCGCTCAGTTGATGACCACTGCTACTTTTAGCATGTTTGAATGGATTATTAGATCAATTTTAACATTTCTTTCTTTCAGCATTATCTAATATAAATAATGTGGTTCTGTTATTTATTTCTTTGATAGATTTGTTTTTTTGATGGATGGGATTATTTATAGGACTTCAGATTGTATCGTTATCTTTCTGTTTATGTGATGAATGCATCCAATTTTATCCATGGTCAAAAAAACAATTATTTATATAGTGTTTATATAGTCTAAAGCAGTCGCGGCCCCTTTGGGGGTTGAACGACTCTTTCACAGGAGTCGCCCAAGACATATTTCCGATGGTCTTAGGAACCAAGATACTGCGCTCCTCTCTCTGTCTCCAGGCAGGTCCACCCACATGCAGATACACCCACATTTCCCTGGACCGCGATGTGGGACATGGGGACATGCTGCCCCTGTCATCTGGCCACACCCCCGGGATCACTCAACAGCTCCGCCTCCTCGCCGGTGATTGACCGCCGGAACTGTAGCTCAGGAGAGGCACACAGGCGGCCAATTACCAGCGAGGAGCTGGAGCTTGGAGAGGAGGAGCCAAGCGGCAGCGCAAAGATCAAAGAAGATCGAGTGAGGGAGCTGCCGGAGCGAGTGAAGAGGAGAGCGGCAAAAGAAGGAAGACAGCTGACCGGTGTCTGTACCGTGCAGATGGTGCTGCTGCAGCCAGGTATGCTGGCTATAGATGGGAGAGGGAGCGAGACCAGGCTATTATTCCTCCCCCCACACTGACACCAACGATGGGACACTATTCCCCCCCCCCCCCCCCCCCACACACACACTGACACCAATGATGATGGGACACTATTCCCCCCCCCCCACACTGACACCAATGATGGGGCACTATTCCTCCCACTGATACCAATGATGGGACACTACTCCTCCCACTGCCATCAGTGATGTGGCACTACTCCTCCCACTGACACCAATGATGTGGCACTACTCTTCCCACTGCAAAATTACAGTTATGAAGTAGCAACAAAAATAATTTTATGGTTGGGGGTCACCACAACACGAGCAACTGTATTAAAGGGTCGCGGCATTAGGAAGGTTGAGAACCACTGGTCTAAAGGGAACTATGTATACCTCTTGTATTTAAAGTTGTTTTACTATTAAAGGAGAGAGCAAGGCATCCTGGTACAGCTCTTAGTTCGGGAACAAAGTGGTTAATCCGTCAGCAATCCTTATCAATCTTAGAAGTAGCAGTCAGTTAGGCTGAGGAAGGTGAGGTCCTCCCCGAAATGCATCCCATTTTCATGGTGGAGAGGAGAACAGACTGCTTCATGTCCAAGGGTCTGAGGGTAGGCGACTGCTCCAATTGGCTTAAGACTTGACAAATGGCATCTGACAATCGGAAGTTGCCGAATCACTCCCTGCTTTGGAGTCTTGTGTCTACCTTTACAAGTGCATTTCTATATTAGTGATTTTATTTTGTGTCCCCAATAAATTACTTACTACACTATCGTTGCTTTTCTGAGTCACATTTGTTTATACTCTGTCTTGCCAATTGATGTAATCAATGTACAATTATTTTTGTAAAGATCTGAGTAGAATATTGGGAGGATGAAAGTTTTTGTTTTTGTTTTTAAGAGGTTTTACCTGTCCCAACAATACTGGTAATTAGTAATTAACAGAAGTTGGTATGAGGGTCCCCAAAGAGGGGGTGGTTCAATCACCTAAGACTCCAAAAAAAGGCTTGCTAAAAGCAAAAGGATGGCCAGATTCAGAGGATTTCCATTGCTGCCTTTATCTGACACAGTAGACAAGAATCTTCGGCAGACAGAGGCACTAACACAAAACTTCTAACCTACAAAATCAGCCCGCTGAAAACAGTGCTGTATGTCTGTACACCGATCAGACCTGGCAGCGAAAGGGTTACGTGGGATTTGAAGAGGAATGAAATCCCCTGAGGAAGAGGGCTACCCTCAAAACGCGTCAGCCGGATTTTGGCCTTTGGATGGCACTTCATTCACCTCAGGGTCTATGGCTGTTTGTGAACAAATGCATCTTGTGACTGTCAGTTTATATGCTATCTGTCAAATCATTTGTGAGTATAATATTTTATCCACGTTTTACTAAATGGTTATCTGGGATAATGCACTAGGTCAGTGCACGTTTTACTCCTTCTGCAGTTTCATTTGTACTTCCCGTCGTTTATGAGAGCTGCAAGGCTTGGCCCACTCACTGGAATTTTGCATATATCTGTTCCCAGCCTTCCACACCCATGCGCAGGAGCTGACATTATTTCTCTTTTAGTGAATTTCTATAGCAGTGATTTTATTTTGTGTCCCCAATGAATTACTTACTACACGATCAGTGATTCTCTGAGCCACATTTGTTTTTACTCTACTGTCTTGATTGTCCATTGATGTCAGTAATGTACAAACTTTTAGTAAATATTTGAGTAGAATATTGGAGGATGAGTTTTTTTTTTTCGTTTTGTTTTGAAATGTCCCAACAATATGGTCAACTAACAGAATTTTGGATGAGAGTCCTCAAATGGGGGGGGGGGGGGGGGGGGGGGGGGGGGGGGGGGGGGGGGGGGGGGGGGGGGGCAATCAAAAAATAAGATGCCAGGGCTTTCCAAAAAAGGATTGCAAAAAAGGATGGCTCAGATTCAGAGGATTTCCATTGCTGCTTTTGTCTGATACAGTAGATGAGAATCTTAGGCAGACAGAGGCACTAACACAAAGAACTTCTAACCTATAAAAAGTGAACAAATATACTATAGAGAAGAGGTACAGAGATCGCTACAGCACATTCACGTACCGTGTTGGAAGCACTAGCTGTGCTGGTGGCTGGGGTGTTATGCTCTGCATGACTCTGTCCTCCTCCATAGAGCGGAAGTCCATGATCAGTGGATGGAGCGACATATTCTTGTGTGTTGGTTTCCATAATCTGTGGATAAACCGTTTTGGGGTGGTGGAGGGAAAGGAATAGCAGCAAATGGTTGAACCATGGTGTCAGGAGTGGCTGTCGGCTCCTGGTTACCCTAAAAGAAATCATGAAATTAAATTTAAATAAAACTGTAAATTTACCAACTGTAAATAGAAAACATGAACTTTTCAAAAATGTTAACACTTTAAACATGTTGTAAATTTTTAACATTTGCAACACTCATGTTACCGCTTACATGGTTGCGACTATTACATGCTGGCCACACTAAAAACCAGTGGATTGTAAGGTCATAAAATGTAAAGGTAATATTGTTACGTTTACCTGGCTGATTTTATATCATCAGAAAAGAAAATTAATCATAGAACTCCAAGCTGCAGCATCTTATCTTAAGCTGGCCATACATGGCTCGAAAAATTCGGACGGTTCAGCAGGGACCAGCCATATTTCAATCCATGTATCGCCACTGTGGTGGAACAAATGTCCACCTACAGATTGACTTTTGTTCAATTGCCCAGTTTCCCTGCGGTCAGAATACATTGAACCATTAGCAGGTTTCCCCCCCATCCACCTTTAAAAATGTTTGAACGCAGATTTCAGATCAAAAAGCTCTTTTCAGTGTAAAAAAATGCCAGGTGACCACTGCTATTATCCAACAAACCAGAACCAGTCAGTTTTTTTTTTTTTTTTTTTGCCATGTTTTTTGGGAGATTTTACTGCCTGGACAGGAATTATGGCAACATATTTCTAAGCGAGGAACAAAAAAAAAAAAAAAACAAAAAAAAAAAAAAAAAAAAAAAAAAAAAAAAAAAAAAAAACTTAATAAAGTGGGGTGTTTGAAATTCTGACATTTTACTGCTATCTATGCCATTCCAGCTTTAGAGAATACCATACCTCCATTTCCTCTACAGGTCTTACAAGGCTGAACTGGATGGACTTTTGTCTTTTTTAACCAGACAAACTATGTAACTATGTGACAGGAAGTGATGAAAAAAAAAAAAAAATCACTACAACAGGTTCAAACTGCTAACATTTTACTACTACTGCTCTATTAATATTGTTGAAGTTAGGCTTTCGAGCAAAATATTAAAATCTCTCTATGAGCCTGACAAAGGGCTGGATGAATTTCAGAATCCGGTGTGCCAACATTCTATACAAACATGACCAATGGTTTTGAAGATTGTAAAGAGACAAACATAAAACATTCACATAACGGCTGAACTCTTCAAAAAAGACAAAAAAGTGGGAGGGATGTGCGGATGTGTTAACAGAACTTTAGCATTGCAACATCTGGAAACGATTGGAGCAGCAGTGTTCCACCCTTGGCTTTAAGTGTGAGCAGATCCGAAAAAAAAAAAGAAAAAGTATTTTAGTTAACTATATTTCCAGAAAGAGACAAAATGAGCTGAACTGGCAAAAGTGAGAAAACTGATTTGGGGGGGGGGGGGTTACAAAAGTACACAGACCTACAATTGAAAGTGCATAGTAAAAAAAAATCCAAGATTGCTCAAAGTTCTAATAGAAAATTACAGATATATAGCCAAAACAGACTATTTCTGGAGACTTTTCCCCATACGGTTCAATTAAAAAAAAAAAAAAAAAAAAAAAAAAAAAAAAAAAAAAGGGATCAGCTTTAAGTACAAACTTAACTTCTAAGTATATGCTGTAGTTTACAATTGTGTGCATCACACACAAGTCATTTTTGCCATCTACAACATTGCCTCTGCTGCCTGTTTTACAGTGCTACGCAACAGTAGTGTTTTTTATTGTGCCTTCTCACAGTCTATAATTGGCAACACACAGGACAATTCTCAGTTTAAAAATAAATAAATCAAAACATCATTTCAAGGGTAAATGCTCAAAAAAAAAAATTGCAGTAAAAAAGTAATGAAAATCCTCTAAATGTGAACCCACATTCATTGGGCCTGTGATTATCTGGCTCCTTTTCATGAGCCTAAGCCGCTGTGAGTGTGGAAGGATAGCTGTGATCTGCAACTCCTCAATCTCCCCAGGGCTGAAAGACGTTGAAGCACTCAGGTGCTTGGCTGTTCTGGGTGGTTCACAAGCTCAGTGGGCCAGTTGCAGTGCCCCAGTTGCAGTGCCCATGAGCATTATTTATTACAGGTGCTTATATAGCAGCATCAATTTATACAGTGCTTTAAATACATATACTGTACATTCACAGCAGTCTCTTCCTTCAAGGAGCTTACAATCTAAGGCTCCTAAACACACACACATCAATTTAGACAGGAGACAATTAATCTACTAGTGTGTGTCTTTGGGAGGAAACCGGAGTACACAGAGGAAACCCACGCAAGCACAGGAGAACATGAAAAACTCCAAGCAGGTAGTGCAGTGCTGGTATTAGAACCGATTATCCTAGAAGTGCTAATCATTGTGCTTTAGAGCAGGGACTTAAGTCCCTGGATCTGAACTGGCTGGAAAGATTGGATTTTTTCTGCATACTTACCTGTAAAAACCATTTCTTGGAGTACATAAGGGGACACAGAGCAGGCTATTCATGACCATGTGGGTTATTTGCCCCATATAGGTAAATGGCCAATCAGAGATCCCCCCCCCCCCATATAGCCCCTCCTACACAAGAAGTACTTCAGTTTTTGATGCAAGCAATGAAATCAAATTTTCTTTACCATACATCACGGTACACAGAGCAGGCTATTGATGACTAAGTGGGTTGTCCTAAAGCAGATAAAGAAATCTTGAGGGGAGGGTGACACGATAGCCACCATATGCTTACTCAGCTGTTCGTTGTACGCTGTGGCCAAAGGCAGAATCCACCACGGCTCCGACATCCACCTTGTAGAACCTTGTGAATGTATGGACTGAAGACCAGTAGCGGCCCTGTAAACCTAAGCAACTGATGCCTGATGATGGATAGCCCAAGACACCCCCACAATCCTGGTAGAGTGTGCTTTCACCCGAAAGGGTGGGACTTTACCCTTCAATACCATAGGCTTGAATAACTGGTGGATCCAATGAAAAAAAATTGTTGACCTGGGTGCCGCCTGCCCTTTCTGGACCTTTCTGGCAACGAAAAACAGGATTCCTGACGTGTGCCGTTAACTCAAGTAAATCTTGACCACTAGAACTACATCAAGAGTATGCAGCTCTCTTTCCCCAGCTGACTGTGGACTAGGGAAAAAAAGGCAAGGCACTGTCCTGATTTAAGCGAAAACCAAAAAAATAATTCTAGGCAGGAATATGGATGAGGACGCAACATCACCCTATCGTGATGTCAAGAACAGCTCCTTACATGAAAGGGCCTCCAGCTTTGACACTCTTCCTGCCAAAGTGATAGTAACCAAAGAAGCCACCTTCTGAAACAAAGAATTAGGTTTCTTTAATTGGTTCCAAAGGCGGCCTCTGCAAGGACATCCAATGTCACAAGGACACAAGGGCGGCCTGACAGATGGGACAGATGGGGACCATCCATGTTACACCCTGCACAAAGTTCCAATCAAGGAGTGAGAACAAAAGTCTTGGGGGGAAAAAATGGATAGAGATGAAATCTGACCTTAACCACTTCCAGACCGGACACTTTTACCCCCTTCCTGACCAGGGCAATTTTCAGCTTTCAGCGCTATCACACTTTGAATGACAATTGCGCAGTCATGCAACACTGTACCCAAATTAATTTTTTACCCTTTTTTTGCGACAGATAAAGCTTTATTTTGGTGGTATTTATTCACTGCTGGGATTTTTATTTTTTTTGCTATGTACATGAAAAAGTCCACCCATATAGGATGTAAAAGCAATCATTTCTCTTTCTCTCTGTGTGCATTCTTGCACTCATTGAGAAATACAGAGTGAGCTGTGATTGGTCACACCTTGTCACATGGTACAAGGCTGTTGTGAATAGGCTTGTACCATGTGACCTCTGTGATCATTCACAGATTTCACACGTAGTAAGCAATGATATCACAAGTGACATCTTGCTTACTACTTTGCATGTGATCACTGATTGGCCAATCAGTGATCACATGATCGGGACCTCGTACAGAAGTCCCGTCCGACGATCGGTGTTTCACTGTGTCCGGAGGACACAGCGGGCACCGGATCGCGGTGCTGCGCGCTCCCAGGGAGCGCGCACAAGCAGGGTGCGGGGAGGCCGTTCATAAACGGCCACCCGACCCTGTACTGCCACCGTCCGGCCGTTTATATGCAACGGCCGGTCGGGAAGTGGTTAAAAATGGTACTCAAAGTAAATTTAATTTCTCCTCCTGATTGGAAAAAGGATAAGAAACCTTACAATCACCCACTTCCGTGGATGCCACTTCCTGGCCTCCCAACCAGACAAATAAGATTTCCAGGACCTAGTCCTAGTAATAGAAGTGCACTGACGCCAGTTCTCTAGCACTCAAAAATGCTGAAAAAAAACAGGACCCAGGACCCCCCACTCTTACCATAATTGGTCTTAAAAAGCCAAGCCTTCAATCCTAGAAATCATATAAAAGGATACAATATCAGACCCAAGGCAAATAGATCTGGGTGGACTGGAGTGTCCCCTGACAGATACACTATGTTGGTGCATCAAGCCCTCCTGGGCTAGGCTGATCAACCACTATTAGTGTTACCTCCTTCCAAACCCAGCGAAGACACGGCACTCGTTGAATCGAGGAAAACTGGTCCCTAAGGTGTTACCAGTGCATCTAACCCTATTGCCAGGAGCATTCGACATGGGCACAACCTGTCTAACCTGTTGTAGAACCTGGAAGTCAGTAGATCCGCATCCAGAGTTCCCCAACGCTGGCAGATTGCTGAGAATGTCACAAGATGCAGGGACCATTCTCCCAGTATCAGCTGTTGACCTCTGGGGAAAAAAAACCCCAAAAATGACAGTTTCCTATACCTGGAATATGTAAGGACGACAGAGCACATGCTGTTCTGCCTCAGACAGAATGTGGTTCACCTTTTTCCAGAACTGTATGACTCCTGGCGCTGCACTGGTGGTTCATATATCCCACTGCTGTGGCATCGTCAGGCTGTACCTGGACCACAACCTGTGTAATGAGGTCATCCAAAATTCCAGCACAAGGCATACTGCCTGACATTCCAACCATTGATGGGCAGTATTCCCTCATGTGGAGACAAAATGTCCCCTGAATTGTAGCCACCTTTAAATCAGCCCGCC